ACAGGAGATGACACCAGAGACTGCGGGCACACAGGAGATGACCAGCGGACACGGTACAGGGGCGGACACAGTACAGGAGATGAGACACAGAGACTGCACACAGTACAGGAGATGAGGAGACATGACAGGAGATGACTGCGGACATAGTACAGGAGATGACAGGAGACTGCGGACATAGTACAGGAGATGACAGGAGATGTACAGGAGATGAGACTGCGGACAGGAGATGAGTACAGGAGATGACTGCGGACATAGTACAGGAGATGACTGCGGACATAGTACAGGAGATGACTGCAGACACACTACTGGAGATGACTAGAGACTACAGACATATTACAGAGTTCTTTCAGCAATGCACAGATGTACAGTTTATGAACAACAGGTCAGGGTTTGGTATAACAGTCCACAGGCAGTCTATGGGGGGGGGGGGGGGGGGGGAGGAGAGGACATACCTGGCCAGCCGTGTTCAGCATCCTCTCTGAGGTCCGGGGGCAGGGCTCCCACTCACATCACAACTTCTACTACAGCAGCTCCCTCTCGAGCACACATGTTGCATGGGGCAGGGTCAGTGGAGCTTCCGGACCTGACCCCGCCCCCTCCCTGCTGGCTTTCCCGGTATTCTAACATGGCAGGGGGGCTGGGGGTGGGATGCCTGCTCAATATTCGCTCCACAAGACGCACAAACATTACCCCCATTTTTTTTGGGGAAAAAAAAAAAAAGTGCATCTTATGGAGCGAAAAATACGGTATATCATAGTACAGAAATGTATGCAGTGTGATTTACATTACATAGTCTGGCTGAAAACAGACCAAAGTCCATCCAGTTGAACCAAAAAAAAGAAAGTTATAATCCTATACCCACAGTTGATCCAGAAGCATTACGTTCAAGCACAGTTAAAAATAAAGAAATAAAAAAAAAAGGAAGCACTTAGAGGGTTTAGTGGAGGGAAAAAAAATGTTTTTTTTTGTATTTCCAGGTTACCTTGGCAGCGTATACATAATCTACACTTACATGTAGGAACACTACATCTTTCTGTTGATTTTTGCGAATTAGACAACAGAAAAGAATGTTCATTAAAAACACACATGCTTACATGTCTATATGCACTTGTGCATTGTGATTGCTAGCAGACAGTCTAGAAGAAGATTGGATGTAATCTCCAATAAATATTTGTGTCGGTAGTGCCGTGACTCACTGAACATTGTAGCTGTACAAGGACACGACCTCCCATCTATTCTTCTTTTCCCCCCTTACACACGGTGACTATGTTCCTCCCATTGTGCACATACACACCTGGGTAATGTGGAAGCTGAACAGCTGGTTATGGTTTTACAAGACAGTCACATATACCACTGTACACTATTCTTAACCGATGAGTAAATCATTGTACATTTCATACAGACCCTGAACAGCTGCTAGGGTTATCAGACATTCCTCAGTCATCTCATTACCACAAAAGTTACACACAGCAGACACTTACTCAGAACATTGATACACATTACCAGGCTAGCAAAAATTTAAAGTGATATTAAAGGCTCTTTTTTTTACCTACAATAAAAGGGGTTTATAACTATCGGCTCTATACAAGGATATCTGAACAGAGTGTCCTCTTACCTCCTCCTCTGGGGTCTCCAGTTGGCACTCTGCACTCCTTTTCTTCTCTAGGTGCCACCATAGCAAACCACTTGCTATGGGGGCAAACATGCGGGAACACTTCCAGGCCAGGCTGTGTGTGCCCATATACACACACAGCAAGGCTCAGCTTCGCCCCCTCCCTTACATGATTTGACTGACAGCAGCAGGAGCCGATGGCTCCCACTGCTGCCTCTGTGTCCTGTGAGAGCAGAGAGAGATACAAGTGCTGCTGCAGGCGGGCACAGCAGTGGATCAATACAGGATTCAGGTAGGTATTTAGGGAGGGGGGTGGGGGGAGGAACAACTAGTGGAAGGTTTTTTACCATAATGCAGGTAATGCATGAAAAAGAAAAAAACGAAACAACTTGGCTTTAGAACCAGCTAAATAGTCCAGGCAAACAGATAAAAATACACAGCCACATAACTGTTCACGGTTTAATTTTCCAGTTGATGCGTAATTCTGTATAGCCTTGTCTAGCCTAGTCTTGGGATTTGCACACTGCCCAGCAGTTCACCTTCCTATGCCACCTGGACAATGAATTGTCATCAACTCCTCTGTCCAGTGAGCAGGCTGTCAGAGGAAATAACAAAGCCTACCACGGAAGCTGTAATACTTAGAAGCAGAGTGATTATACCAACTAGCAGTGGTTTATATACAAGAACAGCTAGTAAAAGTTACAAATTCATTGGCAATAACAAAAATCTGTAAAGATTGCGTAGGCAAAACCTAACAACTTTACTTTTTTGCTCCCTTTTAGTCTGTTAAACATGCCACTGAAGGTGTATTATATATGTATAATAAGATAAAAAATATATTTTGATCCTGCCAGGAGTTTAGTAGGCCAATAACTTGTAGTGCTCCCTGCTGACCTATCAGTTATTATTGTTCACTCTGGACTACAGAATACCTCCCCCATATAAGAGCAGGGAGGGGGGTGTCCTTTATTCCTAGCAGATGTCCTGTCCTAGGGTGACAATGTTGCTCCACTATGGATACACTGATTGAGTTTTGTCCCTCTAGGACAGGAAATATGTTACTGCCAGGGTTACCAGGTGGAAATAAAGGGAACATTCCAGTAACTCAGCTGCTAAATTGAACACCTGGTAAACAGCAATATGTGAAATTTCTATTCTTAGGTTTTAATATCAAGACATAAGACTATGATCACTGGTGTGGTGAGACTTGCCCCAATTTCCTCCCCAACTAATGCTGCATAAACTTTATGCCCTTGGATAAAGGGTATCCAATCACATTTACAGAATAATCTGTGCATCTGAAATACAGGGAAACTTACATTATTGCCCATTAGTGGGCAATAATGAATTGGTGCCCAAAATTGAACTGCATATTCCAGATGAGGTGTTACTAATGATTTGTACAGGGGTAAAATGATATCTCTCTCTCTGGAGTCTATTCCTCTTTTAATACGAGAGGATTTTGCTCGCTTTAAAAACCGCAGCTTGGCATTGCATGCCATTATTAAGCTTGTGATCTACCAGAACTCCCAGATCCTTCTCCACCATTGATTCCCCCAGTTGTACTCCCCCTAGTATGTATGATGCATGCATAGTCTTAGCCCCCAAGTGCATAACCTTACATTTATCAACATTAAACCTCATTTGCCACATAGTTGCCCAATTAAACAGTGCATTGAGGTCAGCTTGTAAGTTGGAGACATCCTGTAAGGGTCCCAACACTGAACCTTGGGGTACACCATTGACAATCCTAGACCATTCAGAGTATGAACCATTAACCACTACATTCTGAATATGATCTTTTAGCCAGTTTTCTATCCATTTACATATGGATTTTACCAAGCCTGCAGACTTTACCTTACACATTAGACATGTGTGCGAAACTGTGTCAAACGCTTTTGCAAATCCAAGTATACCACGTCCACCGCCACCCCTCTGTCCAAGGTTTTACTCAACTCCTCAAAAAAAGAAATCAGAATTGTTTGACAACTTCTGTCTTTCAGGAATCCATGCTGTCTGTTGCTTAAAATATTTTTTTTCAGCAAGAACTCATCTATGTGGGCTTTTATTAACCTTCCTGGCGGTAATCCCGAGTGTGACTCGGGGTTAATTTCAGTACCAATAGCGGTAACCCCGAGCAACACTTGGATTACACTGCAGCGATCCCTCAAGCCTTACCTTGTCCTGCGATCTCGCGATGTCCTCCCATTGTGTCCCCCAGCCATGTTGGCATCCGTCTTCTGGGTTCCGCTCCCAGAGAGCTTTGGGACGTACGGGGGGCGGAACCGGTGGAAGATTCAAAAAAGTAAAAACATGACACACACACACAATACACTGTAATCTGTTAGGATTACATTACTGTATCAAACCATTTCACCTAAATTTTGTCCCTAGTGCTTTGTCCCGTGGCCTGCCTGCACTTTTACCATTCTTTCTGCCTGGAAACTGAGAAACGTCCATGGCATCCAAAAAGCGTCACTTTAAGTCAAAAGCAGTTTTAGACCAGCTAGGGAACAGCAATATTGAATTAGAGTCATTTGCAGAATTGAGCAATAGTGATTTGTGAGGAAACTGACAACTGACAATGATTCTGCGACTGAGCTCAGCGATGTTCGAACTTGGTGCTCTATTTCAAATTTTCGTGTTTTTGGTTTGGTTTGATTACAATATTGAATTAAATGTATTATTTTTTTATTATTATTTATTATACTATAATTTATGATTTCGGGTTTCAAACTTTATCATACCCGGGATGTTTACTAGACTCTTGTTTGGACAGATTTAAGTGAGTTATTCCTAAGAATTACAGGCCTACAATATAAAACAACAAATTTCCATGCAAAAAAATGAACCACTTTGACATTCAAAAATATTGATTAGTTAGACTGCCAGGGAGGTTAAACTCTCCAGTATCTTCCCAACTATAGAAGTTAAACTAACAGGTCTATAATTACTTGGTAAATATTTTGACATCTTTTAAAATATTGGCACATTGGCCTTACGCCAATCCAGTGGTAGGTACTATGCTAGTCATTAAAGAGTTACTAAAAATTAGAAACCATGGCTCTGAAATGACAGAGCTTGATGAATGAAGAATTTGAAGATGAAATTAAGAAAAATAAAAAGTGATTACGTTAAGAGTGAGTTCTCTGAAGGAGAAGAAGAATACCATCACCTTAGAAAACTAGCAAAAATCTGAGGACTCACAGAGTGGGGTAGGCTTGTTTGGAGACAAGCCTATAGAGTTATTTTGCCACGTTAAGTGATGTATACAGATACTGCTAAATTGGTGTGGGCATTTAGGCATCAAAACCTCTGGTCACAAAAAGGTTATAAACTAGATGTTCATGGAAAGAGATTACAATTAAAAGCAGAAACTGATTCCTACTATTTGTTCTGATGACAAGCGCAGGGTCTTGCGATAAGACACAGTACTTCCATGATTTGGATACTCCAAAGGTGCAGGCTCAATTTTTATCTGCTTCAGCTCCATTGAATCTTCATCAGTTGAAGAATTATCCTCAGCAGACGGTCTATGAAAATTCACAATATAAGAGTCAACGTACATTCACAATACATCCATTCTACTGGCATTGAACAGGGTGTAAGTAAGCTAAAGCTTTAAATCAATTACTCTAAGTAGGATGGGTGACCACACAGCATCCTGCCATAAATGCTCTTCAGCCGTTTCACGCAACATTAAGTATAACCCGTGTGTATGCATACGTCTATTCCCGTGTGCACCATTAGACATATTTAAATACCCTGAAGAAACACGTCCTAGCTAGTGTAGATAGAGTTATTAAAAAGGAAGACAAAATACAGACTTACGAAAACTGCAGAATACTGGAAGTGGAACACACAACACTAGAATTTTCTTCTTCATTTTGTATTGTTAGAAAGCATCCTTTGCAGCATAGAAGTCCTGAATTGAGATCTTACTAAAACATTGAAAGATCACAGACAGGTGTATGGATTGTGTAAACATTAAACACCTGCACTGTCCTAGTCCTGATTTTAGGTCACGAGACTAAAGAGAACACACAGCAATATTTTGAGAACAGGGAAGATTTTATACTGTATTTTGCAGTTTGTTCTGCAGGGAAGATTTTGTTCACTCTTCCCAGTATAAGGGAAATTCCATCTTAGATAGTTGTCATCAGACTACTTGTCACCTTTGGATTATTTCCACTTCCCTCTCTACAATTTGAGATCTCCCTTTACTTTCTGTCATGGTGACAATGGTCACCAGGACAAAAAAGAGGGGTGAACTGCAATATAAATTTTACAAAGGGTATAACCATTCCCCACTTTATCCAAACTGAAATGTTTTTCCCTTACATACACTTAAACCTCTGCACTCTTGGTAATAAATGTCAGCTCTATATAAACCTGTTGGAAATTCTCTAATATCTGGAGTGACAAAAAAGCCTGCTGCAGATCAAGGGACCAGCACCACACTAGTGGTCATTTACAAGGTCCAACCACTTCCCGCTGATGTTCCACTTTAAACATTATATCGGAGAACTTCTTTTAAGCTAAACTCTGGGAAAACTAAAAATCCACCCTTGTAGTGGGGCTGCTTCTGCAATGCAAGAGTTAACTGCTTTGTCTATCTCTAGGGGGACGGAGAAAAGCAGTTTTACTTATGTATTCACTACAGCCTCTTCTTTTCTGCACATCAGCGGTCTAAAGTTCTCTGATGTCATAATGACTGATGAAGGGACCACAGCCCTGCATTAGATGGGAGGACTCCGAGGGACAGTCCACTATCAGATCAGAAATAAATGCGGTTTCTCAGCGGAGAAAAGGATCAGGTAAGTGGAAGTGCTCTTACTATACCCTACACCAGGAGTGCTCAACCTGTGGCCTGCAGGCAACATGTGGCCTTAAATGACCTCTGATGTGGCCCTTGACCTCAAACCAAGGAAGTGCACTTCTATTATATCCTATGGGATTTGTGCGCTTTCTGAAAGTGCACCACACTCCAAACATATATTAGAAGTCTATGGTCAAGTACAGGTAAACTGCAGTGCATCAGTGTGAAAGCAGCCAATAGGGGGCTCAGGACAGTAAGGGGTCTATTATATTTGCGGTTTGGGGATGGGCGGATGGGAAAACCCCATAGTTGAAATGTGTTTTAACCACACACCCCCAACGACTGGTGTAGCGTCAGGGGCCACAATAGCAACCCTGGCCTTTGCTCCAGGGGGCAGGTGTGCCTCCCTGTCATATTCTGTTTTATACTTGGTAGAAGGGGCAACAGAAGCTGCATATAGAGGAACTGTTCCTCTCCATTTCCTCCTGCAACCCCTGAAAGCCCGCTTTTTCTCCCTTCCCTCCCACCGGCATTCTGTGGCTGCAAGAGGAAAATGTTCATTATGTGGATACGACTGTTTACCAGATCACTTCAGTGGCCCTCGCTCTTCAAAAAGGTTGAGCACCCCTGTCATAGACCAAACAAGCAGTTGCAGTGTGGGGGCAATCCTTGTGCATGGGAGGATGTTTTTTTTCTAGAGCTAAGCTTTAAAAGACTTTCCCCTATATCTTTGTTTCTGAGGCTTAACTTTCCCAACTGAACTATGCCTTGTCTGCTGGAGCCAAGCTCCAACCTTCAACTGTCCAATAAACAGTGTTCTTTTTCAGCTGAGAAGAGAATGGTAAAGTTTATCTGCAGGGGATAAGTTGTAGCCAGGGAAGTCAAGCTCATATTGACATTTCTTATGATTGAAACATCCTGCACCTGATCACTGGTGACTTTAGGACACATCCTTAATAAAATTGTTTTTTAAAATACAGATACCAGGAGGCAAAGGAGAAGAAGTTTTTTTGACAAACAAAGATAAAAGCAGATAGTTCTAGGCAGGACTCTCACTTTTAAAAGTTAATGGCTGACAGGATGATTAAGTGACCTTCCTCTTGCCAGGCAGAACTGATTATTTGTGTTTCTGGAAATGTAAATATATACATGTCTACATACATGCATATACAGCGGGTAAAATAAGTATTGAACACGTTGCCATTTTTCTAGGTAAATACATTTCTAAAGATACTATTGACATGACATTTTCACCACATATCGGTAACAACCCATGCCACCCATACATACAAAAAGACCAAACAAATAAGTTCAGAAATTAAGTTATGTATAATAAAATGGAATGACACAGGGAAAAAGTATTGAACACATGAAGAAAGGGAGGTGCAAAAAGGCATGGAAAGCCAAGACACCAGCTGAAATCTATCAGTAATTAGAAAGCAATCCTGTCCCTTGTCAGTGCAAATTAATATCAGATGGTTCAGTCTCAACTGATGGCCTATAAAAAAGCATCACACTAAAAACATCTCATGATGGGTAAAAACAAAGAGCTCTCTCAAGACCTTTGCAACCTTATTGTTGCAAAACATACTGACGACATTGGTTACAGAAGGAGTCCTAAACTTTTGAATGTTCCAGTGAGCACTGCTGGAGCCATAATCTAGAAGTGGAAAAAACATTTCACCATAACCTGGCCATGACCAGGTGCTCCTCGCAAGATATCTGACAGAGGAAGGAAAAGGATTATCAAAAGAGTTGTCCAAACGCCGAGGACCATTTGTGGAGATCTTCAGAAGGACCTGGAATCAGCAGGAACAATTGTTTCAAGAAAACAATAAGCAATGCACTCAACCGCCATGGCCTGTATGCACGCTCACCATGCAAGACTCCATTGCTGAAAAAAAGCATGTTGAAGCTCATTTAAAGTTTGCTGCACAGCATTTAGACAAGCCTGTGAAATAGTGGGAGAATATAGTCTGGTTAGATGGGACCAAAATTTAACTCTTTGGATGCCATAATACACACCATGTTTGGAGGTCAAATGGCACTGCACATCACTCCAAAAACACCATACCAACAGAGAAGTTTGGAGGTGGAAGCATCCTGGTGTGGGGCTGTTTTTGAGCATACGGTACTGGCAAATTTCATATCTTTGCAGGAACGATGAATGGAAAAATGTACCCAGATATTCTTGATAAAAATCTGCTGCTGTCTACCAGGATGACGAAGATGAAACGAGGGTGGACATTTCAGCAAAAAAATGATCACAAACACAAAGCTAAGGAAACTCTCAATTGGTTTCAAAGAAAGAAAATAAAGCTGCTAGAATTCTCAATAGAACCCAATAGAAAATATTTGCTAAAAACTAAAGATCAGAGCTCATAGAAGAGGCCCACGGAACCTTCAAGATTTGAAGACTGTGTGGAAGAAATGGCCAAAATTACACCTGAGCAATGCATGCGACTAGTTTCTCCATACAGGAGGCATCTTGAAGCTGTCATTTCCGACAAAGGATTTTGCACGAAAGTATTAAATACATTTTAGTTAGCGTGTTCAATACATTTCCCCTGTATCATTCCATTTTATTACACATAACTTAATTTCTAAAATTATTTGCTTTGGTTTCTTTGTATGTATGGATTGCATGAGTTTTTTACCAACATGTGGTGAAAATTTCATGTCAATAGAATCTTTAGAAATCTATTTACTGAGAAAAATGGTGACGTGTTCAATACTTATTTTACCCACTGTATGTGTACATACACACATAGTTTTACTTGGTGCTTTAAAAGTATCGTCTGTTGTTGTTAAGGAACTTTTTTTTTTTTTTTTATTGTTGAATATTAAGAGCACATGTTAAAACTATATTTTCTCAGTACCTTAAAACAATGGTTTTGTATGGTAGATAGTAAACTCCATAAACTTGAGTAATGTAAAAAGCAATTTAACAATCTGTATGCACCTCTGCTGCCCTTAGGCTCGTACAATTACTAGCTGATGTGTTCCATAAAATATATTTTGTATTCTTGATTTATGATACAGAGGTGAACACCACAGTCCATCACAGCACTGGAGTCAAACACTTCTGCTTATTTATGGGTACTTGTTAAAATATGACAGAATGCGTTAGAGAGGAAGCATAACATAAGACTTGAAATATCTTTCATTTCAATGTTTATTTCCTTTAGAACGATGTGTCACAGATGTTAACAAGAATTTGGATGTCACAAAAGTCGCACGTAGCATAGATTATGTAAGTAAACACAAAAGTTCAAGTAGGCAATGTAGCAGAAACTAAACAGAAAAGCCTGGATCACCACAGGCTGTTCCTTAGAGGTTGAGAGGTCAAAGCAGTAAACAGCTACAAATGACACTGCCGAAAAATTCACTGTTTATTGATGGTTACATTTTAGGTATTCAGGGAGATGAAATGGTGGTCTACATTATAGGAAAAAGTTGGAAGAAAAGCTGAAGTTGCAATCTCTTTTTTCTTAAAAGGGATCTCCCACAAAACAAAAGCCCGTAGGCTTGACTTCACTTTTCTGGGTCTACAACAGCTATACTTTATGTGCTACGTAGCTTGGTTGAAAGACTTTTCTCCTACAGTTGCTCCCCACAGAACATGCCTTCATGGAGTCTTTATTAATACAGAACATTTTTTTTTTTTAAATTTAAATATTTATTAATTTTTCAAAATAATAAACACTTTCATCA